CGTTTCATTCGACCATTCGCACGCGTATTCGTCTTTCGTATCACGTTGATAGCGAGCTTGCGTGCACTGCTTGAGAATGTCGAAGCTATTGCGAGTTGAGTAAGTTGACGAAATTGGTGGGTTGATCGTGTACACATACAGTGACAAAGGTCGGTGTATGCATCAAAATAAGCCACTATATAGAACATATGTGAAAAGGATAATGAATAGTTGATAAAAAATCTGGTATTTAATTGACGCAAATTATTAAACAATAATAAGATTGGAATTAAGACCGTTTTATATAAATACATCACCTAAATACGAGAAGTGTCACTTGATGGTCAAAGTTAAATGTTAAACTAATACGTATATTTATTCTTATTGAAATAAATTTATTTCAGAAATATAATTGCGCGCCGTTATTGTGGGATTTTCAACGAAATATCCATCTGAAACATTAATGATCCCCCCAAATTTTAATCTTAAAAAACTGTGATAAATTTAATGCAAATTATTATAATTTTAATTCAAATATAAAAAATACTGTAAGACATATTTAAGATGTATATCTTAAAAAAATAATTTTTGAAAAGAAATGGAAGGAGATGAAAAATACTTATAGATGAATATAGAATCGTATAACGTAATAAAGCGATTGATTGATGAATGCCTTTATTATATTAATGACGGAGTCATTTCCTTAAGAGCCTTTAATGCGATTCACTGGATGTTATTACATCAGCAATTAAAAAGAGATATCCGTATTCTCGTCGATATGCACGATAAGTGAAAGGGGTCAGCTGGCAAGCCTGGCTCTCGACAGTAATTGGAGCGCGAAGAGTCAAGTTGCATTTCCAGTACGATAACGGTCATCAAACAAGAATCCTTGTCTCACGAGCGCGTGGCGTATCGTAATCGATGAAATCTCGATAGGCAGCCTCGGCTTGCGTCGTCTTTTATTCGCTCATTATGAGCTTTCGTTTACAAAGGATTTCGTCTTCTTGCGTAACAATGTCCTGCACTGGTTTCTTAGATTTTAAAAAGGTCTCCGACCGAGAGAGCACTTTGCTTTAGCTTGTTGAAGGCTTTGATCTTGAATTAATGTAAGTCAATCGGTGGACACAACGATAATCGTCCCATCTATATCGAATCAATTCCATCGTCCCAATCGATGTTCATTGCAATGACGGAAAGAAATTCTCTTCAGGCATTTGTTCTTCCCGCTTCCGAGGAGTGCCGTAAGAACCCATCACGGAAAATCCATCTTCTCTCTTTATCTCTTTCCCATTTTTATGCACAGATCATATTAAGCTTCCCCAAAGTATGTTCTTCTCGATAATAGAACGAGTTATTTATTTTAATTTAATTCCAAAGACGAACGAATAAGAAGAATTACTCGTTTATCTACTTGCGAGTGTGATTCCTCCAATAAACATTTAAGCATTTAATTTAATTAAGCTCTAGCCAAGTGTAGCTTCCTATGCGGTTTTGACTCTAGATTTCCAATACACCATCAGGTCAAATTGATGATAACTTCAACAAACGATGATAGTAAACATGATTTAAAAATCAAATATCCATCCGCGACTCTCATAACGGGTTAAGTTAATCGATAAAATAAATATGAATATCGATATTGCCGATACAGAAATAAGCTTGGCATAGAAATGAAATTTTCCGAGAACAAGTATACGACACATATGTAATTTCGCAATAAATGAGCGTGAAATAGGAATGGAAGGAAAACGATTCACTTAGAGATATCGTAAAAACTTTATTTAAATCAATACCAATAATATAGAAGGGCTACCAAAACAATAACTTTTAATATTCAATAAACAAATTAACATATATTTCGACAACGATCGTGTCATTATCAATGTACAAATAAAAATAAAATTAATTTTGAACAAGTATTATTTTAACGGCTAAGTAAAATTATTATAAAAGAAGTAAGAAATATTAACATGATTTGCTATCTCTTAGACGATCCTTCTTATAAATATTTATCGCCAAAAGTGGTACGTAATTGAGTCATACAACATTGTAGTCATTTGGTGAAGATGCAGATATTAATCAAAAACTGAGATCTTAATTTAATCGTAGGTCATACTGTTTTCACCAATGGTGTCAATTAATAAATAGCCGTAGTCAAATTTATATCGCCAATAAAAGATATATAAATAGGCAACGTGCGAAAGGGTTCAAAGATGGTTCGTTGTTCAAAGACGTTATGACATGACTGATGTTATATAACATCTTTGAACAACGAACGTTTGTTTATTGAATATTAAAGATTATTGTTTTGGCTCGTAGCTCTTCTATATTATTGGTATTGATTTATTTTTATTGAACCATATTATTATATATACTTTATCTAAAATTTAACCTAAAAAAAAACCTTAAAAGTTAAGCTAAAATTTAATTGAAAGGAAAAAATTTAGTCCAAAGTATATATATTGTGAGAAGAAAATGAAGGCTGTTGTAGGTTATTTGTACATCTTCAAATCTTCAGATTAATAACGTCAATACTAGATGCTGAAATTTTTGGAAAACATTCGCGAGAGACGTGTTCATGAGAAATAGTTAACGCACTCGCGAGTGCCAGCCGATATCTAGAAACGCCACGTTCAAGTTTCGATGCAAACACCGCACACCTCTCGAGCAGAATTGATTTCGAACTGGGTTATGCGGCATACATATGAATGAATCGGCGCCTCTTTTTGAACGTCGAACTCTGCGGTACTTGGCAATTCATAGATTAAGTAAAGCACGGGCCGTGGAACACGTCCGTATCAGGGCCCCGCACCTCGGCGCATTCCTCTCCTTCGTTGAGACGGACGTACACTTCATCCAATAAATCTAGCTCAGGCGCTGTATGATCTTCGGTTTCGCACAAGAACGATAAATCCGGACGTCGCATTCGAAAGTCGGTCGATTCCGATACCGAGTACGTTCCCTCCCTTTCTTGCTGCCGACTAAGCAGCTGCATCGCTGTATAAACTGACGTGCATTACCAATTCAATTGTTACAAAGTATTATGTCCCAACGTTTCTTAAACGTCTTTCGCTTTTTGTAAAATACAGAAAATGCGATTGAACGTTTACAACATCCCACAAATTAGTTAATGGATCTTAAAGATTAATTATCTTTAAACTTAAATCAAAAGTCTATTAAGTAATTTCTATTGGTGTACTTTCAATCTTTATTAGAGGATAATAATAGATCTTGTTTCTAATTCATTAATACATTCTAATATCTACGTTTGTTATAGAAATTAAATAATGTAACTTTTTTAAATCTTACATTATAAAAAGTGATCTAATACATTAATCTATAAAATTTTTAGAGTGAATTATTACTGTGAAGAGTAAAGTCTCACTTTTAAAGATTGAAAATTGAGCTATTCTTTTTCAAGACTAGTTCAATTTTCACTCTTTAAAATAAGATTCCACTACAAAGAATTTAGAGAAGTACGAATTATTAATTTTTAATATTTGGACGATAAAATAACAAATTGACATATGTTCATGCGAGTAAATTATACGAGCCAACAACGTTAACACCGTACTTTCATATGTCTCCGGTAACTATGAATCGGTAGGAAACCATGAATATATATATATAATCCCAGCGATCTAATCTCTCCCATGAGGCACGAGCAAAAAGAGACGACTACGTGAGTTATGGCCAGACCAATCTTTCCCTCGGTTATCCCTGAGTTATATCTAATCCTTAGCGATGAATTCATCTGCCATCATACCGTCCCCAACACATATATGTGACGTTCGCTTAATGCATATACCGAATGGCACAAAATACCTCCCATTAGTGCTTAACGAGACTATACCTCATGACGAATGTGTTTAAAGGGAAAGTTCTACAATACGAAAACGCGATTGAAACGCAATGACATAATAAAACAAACGAGATTCACTCCATTAATTTTTGAGTACACGAGCATTACGTGATTTTGCTTTTACGAATTTCTGCTCGCTCGTGGAAAAAGCTGGCTGAGACGCGAGATCAATCCAAATTTTATCGACGCCACTCATAATGCCACGTTCTATAATTTTATTTGCCTTGTGCAAAGCTCCGTTAGCTGCCCTAATTGCACAGCTGCCA